ATATATATATATATATATATATATATATATATATATATATTTGAAATTAGAACTTATGAATTTTAACACTGAATTTATCTCTATAAAAACTCGATAATCAAAAGAAAACAAGGCAAAAGATGAGAATTTTTCAAAAACAATACAACAACACCAAACTTATGAATTTTAACACTGAACTTATCTCTATAAAAACTCAATAATCAAAAGAAAACAAAGCAAAAGATGAGAATTTCTCAAAAACGATACAACAACAGTAATCTCACAAAACAAAGTGTGAACACAAAATATAATATACGAAAAGTTTATTTTCAATATACCCTCGACTCCAAAAAGAAACCAGTTCAAAAAGAGTACAAAAAAAGGAAATAGAAAGGAAAGTGAAAACAACCTTCCCAAAACAGGAGGTTGGCTAGTACAATCTACAAATATAATAAATATATAACGAACTCAAACAAAAAAAAATTGTATCATCATTAACTCATTAAAAAATAAAAATTGTAAAACAGATAATCGAAATATAAAATTACCCAAAAAAATTTAACAATTTTTTTAAAAAAACTTGATGCAATTCATTCATTTATACCCATAATTCATATCTAAAATTACAACCATACTTGATATACTAAAACAAGAAAAATAAATGTGCAATAGATTCTATTACATAATACTTCAAAATTATTTTTCTTTTTTACTACTAGCTAGCTAGCTAATAAGATACGATACAATACAACATGATAAATGAAACTTGACCTTGCTATTAATTCTAAAAACTACTACTAGAGCTAAACTCTTTGCAACAACTTGACCTTTCTACTAATTCTAAAAACTACTGCAAGAGCTAGACTCTTTGCAATAACTATCCATCAGTCAGTCAGTTTCAGATATCGGATGATTATATCTGAATAATATTTTTTTATGAGTTTACATGCTACGTCTTCTTTTCATGATCATGCTACCACCATTATTAACATCTTCAGCATTTCTGAAAAATGAATCGATTTCTTCCTCATCAACCATGACGATGACCTCAAATCGCAATCTTCTCTTGCACAATGACCGATTTGCCCTTTTAGGTTTCTTGGGTGCACCAGGACAGTTAACAACTTTGGGAATCCTAAATGAAGGAGATTTTGGGGTTTTGCATTCATTTGGAAGAAGAGAGTTGATGTTTGGTGATTGGTTTTCTTGGAAATCTTTTGGGGTTTGGAGGTCTTTAGCCATGGTGAAATTAAGAGAGAGAAAGAAGAGAGAGAAGGTGAAAGTTTGAGGAAAAGAAATGTATTTTTTTTATTTTCATGTAGAGGTCTTAATTTATACTAGTGAAAAAGAATATAATAGGGATGGTTAGAATGGTTACATTTGGAGTGATATTGTGATGGTTAGGAATAAGACAAAAAAATACATGCACAAGTGTTACGTTGATCTGTGAGATTTTTACCTGTACTATCATGTGAACCTCTTTTATCTAGTTATATTTATTTTATGTGTTCGCACTATTTAGAAAACATTAATAATTTTTTTTTCAATTTTACCCTTATTTAAACTAATTACCGAAGTTTTACATGATTAAGAACCTACGATAGAGTTAGAGTTATTAACAAAGTATTTATAAAAGGGTAAATTAGAAAAAAAATGCATCTTATTCTTATAACTAACGTAACAAGTTACGAGTATTATGCTAGTCTGTGAGATTTTAATACCATCATTTTTTGTGAGTTTTCGACTTGAACTAATTGTCAACTATTTATCAAAATATACCTAAAAAACTAATGAGTAAGTTGTCATGCAGACGAAAATTTACGAACAAATTAAATTGTCACGCGTGACGATTCTATTCAATTACTTGACCTAGTCTGCTTCGAGGCGTGTTTTGGTAATTGGTAATGGTTCAAATGGAAATACAAACACCTGATAATTTAAATATTAAACTCAGAAAAACATGGTATGACAAATATGTTTTGATCATTAACTCTTATTATTATTGGGGATCTCAATAATTTTATTTAGTGGGTTGAAACTTTTTTGCCCTAGTCGATCCCCTTAATAGTTCTTGATGCTTTAAAATATTATTGACTTTAATGGTGAATTTTTACATTATAATTGATTAGAGCAAGTTATTATTCTACTTTCCATGTATTAGCATATCAAACTTTTTTACAAAGAAAATTGTTATCATATGATTAACTTAATTTAATGATACAATAAATAAAAGAATTATATTTGAAAGAAAATAAACTCTTGGCATGTCATTTAGTTAGTATATAAATGTACCATAAAACAGCTTTAGCTACTCAAACAGGTATTCAATCCATCTCAATTTATCTATTTTTAACTTTTTAAAATAAATATCTTAAATTTTTTTTATTTTAAAATTTCAATGTAAAATGATTTTCTTTCCATTTTACATTTACTAGCAATAGTACACTAGATACGATGTACAAACACCTTAATTATAAAAAGATACACAAATAAATCAAATAAATATTTCAAATAAGAGAGACAATATTTTTTTATGAGATGATATATTACAACATAGATAAAAATAAAAAAATTGGAATAGGAACTGTCTAATAAATATTTTTATAAATATTAGATAAGTTTCGTAGAGTTGAGAGTTCATTATATCTTAATTCTTATCTTTCTCAAATAACAAAAATCACTTGATTGAATTTTATAGGATTTCGGATACATCAAGATATCTGCAGATACATAACTCGCCGATTGTAAATGATACGGATGTATCCTAGAGGAATAGGAATGTATGGGAGAAAATAGGGCGAGAAGAGATTCTTATATAAATTTTAGAGATTATAATAAAATAATAATAAGTGTATATATATAATTATCCTAATATTTTTTTCTGTAGCATATAAAAAAATCACGACAAAGGAAATATGTTACATATATTTATTAGTTAAGACTTAGAAGTCCAATTATTATATGTGCCTCACTCATATTTAAAGGGATCATTTATTTGCTTATATTATGATGAAATATATATATATATATATATATATATATATGGTAATTTCTAGCTATACTAATTTCTTGTTTTGTGCTTGAATAATCTATGATTTAACACATCAACTAACTATCTAAGTACTTATATTTTGCTTAATTTAGCGCCTTTGCATTAATACAACCTAGCTGTGAATATCATAGATAAAAATAGAAGTATTAAGTACAGAAATCCTATACATTTAGGGATTGAGTATATTATATTTCGGAAGTTTTCCTAATTACAATTTTTTTTTGAATATTTCAGTTTCTTAGATACATTTTTTTGATTGTTCGATACATTACTTAATGAAAGGGATGTATTCGAGCAAGCATAAAAATGTGTTCAAGAGAGGATAAAGATACATGCGAGAGCAGATAGAAAATATATCGAAGAAGAGATACGGACGTATAGAGTAAATTTTCTTAATTATTATTAAATAATAAAATTTTTTAAAGATTAAAGATCAATTATCAACATTGTTGTCAACCATAATTCAGATCCATCATAATTAAAACTTGAAACCATACTTTGACATATCAAAACAAGAAAAACAAAGGTGCAATAGATACTACTACATAGCTAGCTAGCTAACTTACCTAAGATAAAAATACGATACGATATGATATGACATGACATGATAATTGAAATAAACGAAACTTCACCTTACAACCAATTCAAACGACTTCTACTAGCTAGAGACTCTTGCAACAACTATTATGAATCGGTCACTTTGTGAGTTTCAGATATAAGATGATACTGAAAAAAAAATATTTTTATGGGTTTACATGGTACGTCTTCTTTTCATGATCTTGTTACAACCATTGTTAGCATTTTCAGCATTTCTGAAAAATGAATCAGTTTCTTCCCTAGGAACCACGACGACGATCTCAAACCGCAATCTTCTCTTGTAAAATGACCGATTTGCCCTTTTCGGTTTCTTAGGTGCACCTGGACAGTTAACAGCTTTGGGAATCCTACTTGAAAGAGATTTTGGGGTTTTGCATCCATTTGGAAGAGGAGGGTTGATGTTTGGTGATTGGTTCTCTTGGAAATCTTTTGGAATTTGGAGGTCTTTAGCCATGGTGAAATTAAGAGAGAGAAAGTGAAAGTTTGTAAAAAAAAATTCATTTTGAGGTCTTAATTTATACTAGTGAGAAAAAAAAAGGGGATGGTTATGGTTAGGAATAAGACCAAAAAGATACACGCGAAATATCATGATGGTACGTGAGACTCTTACCTGTAATATCATGTGACCAATTTTATATGTGGAGATATCAATTAATGTGTTCACACTATTAGAAAAACTTTAGTACTATTTTTTGTTTCTTTCAATTTTATTGTTATTTAATTAATGAAACTTTATATGATTAAGAACCTAGTAAAGAGTTATCGTTGTTTCAATGTATTTATAAAATGACAAGCAAATAAAAGTGCATCTTATTATCATAATTAACCTACAAAAGAGTTACAAATATCACGTTGGTCTGTGAGATTCCTACATGTACTATCATGTAAACCTCTTTTATCTAACTGTATTTATCCCGTATATTCACCATATCAAAAATATGTTAGTGACGTGATATTCCTACCTATACTATCATATAAATCTCTTTTGTCTAGCTATATTTATTCCGTGTATTTACGATATCAAAGTGTGCATAAATCATACGCTCGATTAGTATTTATCAAAATATAACTCAATTAATATCTGATATTGCGTATGCTACAATATATTTTTGTTAAAGTCACTAAACCACTCCACATGGATAATTATACAAGAATTAATGTATTTTTTTTAAAAAAAAGGCGCACCTAAAGTATCACTTTTCTTTTGTGAATTTCCTTCTTAGACAACTCTCAAGCGTTTGCATTTTATACTTGAACTATTATTAACTATTAATCAAAACACACCTCGAAAAATCATACTTGAAGTATTTTCTTTTACAAGTTTTTTACTTAAACTATCATTACTAATAAGCTAATATAGCTTAAAATTAATGAGTAAGTTGTCATGCACACAAAAATTTATAAGCAAATTAAATTGTCACATGTGTGTTGGCGATTGTATTCATACACTTGATCTTACATGCTTCGATGTGTGTTTTGATAATTGATAATAGTTCAGGTAGAAAATATAAACACCTGATAGTTAGTATATGAAATTCACAAAAATGTGATACGAAAAATATGTTATCGAACATTAACTCTTGTTATTATTCTAGATCTCAACTACTTTATTTAGAGGGTTAAATCTTTTTGCCCTAAGTCGAAATAATGTGTATTCGTTAGTTGTGTAGATTCAGTGTATAACAAACTATAATAAGTGTATAACTAGTGTTTATACAACATACTAGCAAACAAGGAATGAATATAAGGGTTCTTTATTGTTATATTATTACTGATTTTATTGGGCTATTGTATAGTGTTAGATATTTATTTTGTAATCATGCGATATTTGTAATTCACCGATTTAGTTATTTTAGATTCAACTTACACAAATATATATATTCTACAAGAATTACTTTACTTTTAAAGTCGGACTTTTACACGATATATCTCTAAAATTCTAAGTAAATAAAGGTGAATGGATCATATCCTTCCGCCCTATAGTTGTTGGTTTTTTGAAATATTAATGTTCGTGTATAACTTCAATTGTACATACTTATAATAGAATCGATTGAAGATATGATATCTTAAGACGAAAATAAAAATAAAATAGTCGGACGTTGGGGTGGGGACCTTCTAATGAATATTTTTCTTATAAGATCGTATAGAAAAAAAGAATCACTATAGATATTAATTTGAAACAGAGAGAATTACGTAGCGTTATAATTAGTTAGTACGTAGGTGTACAAATATTTTATATATATATATATATATATATATATATATATATATATATATATA